CTCTTAGGCATGTACTACCTCGAGGTCGCACAGCCGCAGTTTGACTGGGATAGAAAGTTGTTGATCCACAAATTGCCCAATGGTAGAACTGTTAGATTGCAGAAGTACAAAGCCAACAATCTAACAGAAACCTACGGGTGCATGTGTGCATTATCTTTTTATAACTATTATAAGCAGAATCACGAGGAGGGCATGTACTTAGTATTTGTCTCTGAGCAAGGGGAGGCCGTAAAAGCAGAATCACGAGGAGGGCATGTACTTAGTATTTGTATCTGAGCAAGGGGAGGCCGTAAAAACACCCCCAGAGATAGAATCAGTCGTCGCACAATATTCAGACTTTTTTTAGGAGCCCACAGGCGTGGTAGAAAGTGAGGTTGTCCATGCGATAGAGGTTGTCCCAGGAAGAAAGGTACCTAGAGGACGAATCTATAGGATGTCTCCTGCGGAGTTAGATGAGTTCCGCCGCCAGCTCAAGGAGCTCACAGAGAAGGGATGGATTCGGCCTAGTACCTCCCCTTACGGCACTCCAGTCCTATTCGTACGGAAGAAGGGAGGTACCTTGAGGATGTGCATTGACTATAGGGGCCTCAATGCCATCACGGTTAAGAACGCGGAGCCCCTACCCTGCATCGATGACCTTTTGGATAGAGTGCAAGGATGCCGGTACTTCACCACGATAGATCTGAAGTTCGGATACCATCAAATTGCCATTAGGCCTGAAGATCAACACAAAACCGCATTTCAGACCAGGTACGGTCTGTACGAGTTTGTGGTGATGCCCTTTGGACTATGCAATGCACATGATACGTTCCAGCACGCGATGAACAGGATTTTTCATGACTACTTAGACAAGTTTATCGTCGTGTACCTCGACGATATTCTCATCTTTAGTAGGACTGTAGAGGAGCACGTTGAGCACTTGAAAACAATGCTAGGTCTCCTAAGACAGCACCAGTACAAGGTCAACTTAGAGAAATGTGAATTTGGTCGTACCAAGATCTTGTACCTGGGTCATGAAATTTCGGCAGAAGGACAGAGGTCGGATGATGCCAAGGTGGCCAGTATACGTGACTGACCTAGACCTCAGACTGTTACTGAGGTCAGATCGTTTTTGGGGATGACGGGCTACTATCGTCCGTTTGTGAAGAACTATAGCACTATAGCTTCCCCATTAACAAATCTAACTCGACTTGACACCCCTTGGGAGTGGACTGAAGAGTGTGAGGCAGCCTTCAGAAAACTGAAGAATGCTCTGACACACTATGAGGTTCTTAAACTTCCCGATCTGGATAAGCCATTTGTCGTGACCACAGACGCTAGCCAATATATGGCATAGGCGCGGTCCTTGCGCAAAAGGAGGGGCCCAAGTTGAGACCTATCGAGTATATGAGCAAAAAGATGCCATCTCAAAAACTAGCTAAGTTCACTTACGAGCGTGAACTCTATGCCCTTTATAGATCGTTGGTACATTGGAGACACTATCTCCTTGGCAGATTTCTATGTGAGATCTGACCAAGTCCTCTCTGACGAACTGAAGTGATGGATTCAAGTGATAGACATGTATGACTATCAACTTGATCCAATCAAGGGAGAGTACAACAAAGTGGTTGATGCGTTGTCCCGCCGGGCGGATTATCTGGGCGCACTAGTGACTGAATTTGGCATATCTAGCCATTTCACTCGATCATTGGTGGATGCTTATCAGCAAGATCCAGTTATGTCTGAGATCATCCGTAGATTCCAAGCAAAGGACAAAAAGACTTTGGACGAATTTATGATGGTAGACGGCTTGCTGTTTCTTGAAAAGGCAGGGAATAAAAGATTGTGTGTTCCCAGTAGTGAGTCTTTGAGTAGTTTATTTTTAGGAGAATGCCATGATGCAACTGGTCGTTTTGGATACAACAAGACATCAGCGAACTTAGTACAGAGATTTTGGTGGCCCTCTATGATGCTCGATGCAAAACGCTATGTTGAAACCTGCCAGGTTTGTCAAAGGGACAAACCAAGGACTCAGGCACCGCTTGGGCTGATCAAGCCCTTGCCGATTCCTAAAGGACCAGGTCAGAGTGTGTCTATGGATTTCATGGATACCCTTGTGACCAGCAGGTCTGGAAAGAGACATCTTTGTTATAGTAGATCGCTTTTCTAAGTATGCAAGACTGATCGCTTTGCCTGAAACTGCTAAAAGTCACTACGTCATCAAACTCTTCATGGACAACTGGGTAAGAGATTTCGGTTTACCTACATCTATAGTTAGTGACAGAGATGTGAGATTCACAAGTGAAGTGTGGCAATCGACTGCTGAACAAATGGGGACAAAGCTCCAAATGACGTCAGGGAAGCAGCCTGAGTTGAATGGCCAGGCAGAACAAATGAACCGAGTAGTACAGCACCTGCTCAGGCATTGTATCAAGCCGAGTCAGGACGACTGGGACGAGAAATCGTCGCCAGCCTGTACAATAATGATGTGCATAGTACTACATGTATGTCTCCCAACCAACTGCATCTTGGTTGGAAGCCCCGAACTGCCCTTGACTTTCTGCTATCGGAAAGAGAACCTACTGCAGCACCCGACAGCATAGAGTTTGCTGTAAACTATGAACAGATGCTGCAGCAGGCCGTTGAACATATTAGGAAATCTCAGGAAGCAATGATTGCATCTGAGAAGAAGCATAGACGGCCCTCTAACTTTCAGGTAGGAGACAAAGTCTGGGTTAAGTCTGTTGAGCTAGGTCAGGAGTTAGGCATATCCCGCAAACTAATGCCACAGTACTTTGGGCCTTGGGAGATCCTAGATATTGTAGGAGATCAATCGGATGGGCCTTCATACGTGATTCGCATCCCACCTCACTTACGCACATACCCTGTTTTCCATGCTTCCAAGTTGGCACCTTTCGCTGCTACAGAGCAGTTTCCTTCAAGAAGATCAATGCTGCCCCAACCATGGATGGCAAGGTGGACATCGATCAGATCGTGGAGCATCGAATGATGTCTGTTCCTCGACCATCAGGCAGAGGGCGCCCTCCTAAACCGAGAATGCAGTATCGTGTGAGCTTCAGACATCACCTCGATCCCAAGGAAGATCGCTGGTTCACACGAGAAGAACTCCTGAGAACAGCACCTCAAGTGATTGCAGGCTATGAAAGAGAACGAAAAGGGAAGATGCCTCTGCAGAATAAGTGACTTCTCGGAGGACTAACGAAGTAAAGGAGGAGGGAATGTGAGGCTCTGAGTCCTCGGCAGGCCTGAGGGGCCCCGGTTACAGTTGTGCCCGCCCTAAGTGAAGGCGGGCCTGATATTTCACACGAGGCCTTTGACTGTCAATTTCATATTTGGGGTACAAGCAGTTGCGACACGGCAGTTGGTTGAAAGAAACACAGGCCGAGCAACAAAGACACTTCCACGGCCTACCGGGCCTTTCCAAAGAATGCAGGCCCTGGACGTGAATCGCAGCCTCATACACTGACAGTTGGGAGGCCCAACCTAACGAGGCCCAGTAGCTGCAGAGCGAAGGCAGCATCCAGGGGCCTTCCGGAAGCTTCTGGGCCCAGGCCAGTGCAGCCAGGCTGCGCGAGCAGGCCAGCTCTTTCCATAAAGGAAAGAGCTCTCCCCTGGCAG